ATCATTTTGGCTGGAATAACACTGACTGCTCCAGGCTTGTGTCAGAATTAACAGAATTCAAGAATTTAGACAGGAAGAGTGATCAAGACAGGGTAGTAATTACTAATGACAGGCAGATAATGAGATGAACAAATGTCTTGCTTGTTTGCCTGTGAGAAATAAGATGAAGGGGCATAGGGTTCAGGAAAAAAATCCTAGTGTTGGCCTGGAGAATTCACCCAAAGTTAGCTAATAAGTTATTCAGGAGCAAGAGACAGATATAAGATAATACAGAACAAAAATACATAAAACAATAATTGGTCTCTGTAGCTCTCTCAATTTGGAGAAAAGCGCTAGACTGCAGCTTTATCATCTCTCCCAGTTTTCCTTTCTCTAAAAGTTCCTGAATTGGTAAACTCACAGGTGTACTCTTGGAAAGTTCTTCAAGATGGAGATCTGTGAAGGTTGGGTCAGCCAGTCCCAGCTAGAGTTCCCAAAATTGTTGCATGAATATTCTTACCAATTCAACTGGCTAACACTAATAAGCCAGAATCAATCAGAAGACAGGATTTATTACACTCAGAGTGTGTCATACTCTACCAGCAGTTGATGGAGAATGTGTTATTCACATTTCATCAAGCACTTTCTATACTTATATGAAACAAAGAAAAAAAAGATGGCTGTTCATTACAACGCAGCTGACCATACAAAGAAAATAAAATATTCTTGTCAAGGGAAGTTAACTATAGGAGATAGATAAGGGATGTGTCTAGGTTAATATCGCTAGTTTCACTAAATTAAACTAATTAAATTAACCTGTTGGGCTAGATAAGGGAGGGAGACATTACACTGACTCTGAAATCCTTCATTTTTTAAAGCAGTTAAATCTTTGTAGCAATTAGAACAGGTGACGAAGACCCTGAAGGAAATCAGCTGCTGCCGGTGGTCCTCTAGTTCATGCAGGGGTCATAACACAGCCAAATGGCAAATACAGAACAAAATAGAATCAGGCATGTTCTCCCAGAAATTCACTGTCAACCATCATTATGCTGATGGTAGTCTCTAATTCTTTCAAAGTTGTTTGTCTTTCCATAATGATGTCATTATATAAATTGTTCTGGTTCTATTCACTTCACTTTGCATCAGTTTATATAAGTCTTCTCAGGTTTCTCTGAAACCCTCCCCTTCATCATTTTCTTATGGCAACATCTTATTCCATCATATTCATATACCATAACTTGTTTAGCCATTCCCCATTTTATGGGTACCCCCTCTCACCACCTCAAAAAGAGCTATAGGTATTTTTATACCCTTAGAGTTCCTTTTCCTTAAGACTAACCAACCCTTAATCAGCCCTCTGTCTAATTCCCTCTTCTCCCCTATTTCCCTGCCAAGTAAAATATATTTTTGTAACCAATTGTGTATTGTGTATATATTCTTCCCTTATTTGACCAGATCAGATAAGAATGAAGTTGAAATGTCAGCTGCTCCTGCCACCCCCTCTACCTTGTGTAGATAGATGTCTACTTGGACATCCTGATTATGTGAAATAATTTTCTCTAACCTTTTTCCCTTTCCCCACTAGTGTATTCCTCTTTCTATTTTCTTTCCTTTCTATTCTTCTCTTAAGATCATGAAGATATAACAGAAGCACTCTTGGTCCTCATCTAATTGGATTCCTTCTATGACCCCTGATGATAATAGGGTTCAGAGGGGACACATGTATCATCTCTCCATATTTGGATATAAACAAAACTTTCATTTATGTTTATCTTTTTTTTTAATGCTTCTCTGAATGCCTTTGTTTGAATTTCAAAGTTTCTACACACCTGTGGTTTTTCAATCAAGAGTTTTCGGAAGCCTTGTATTTTATTAATAAGTCACTTTTTTCCCCTATAGAATTCAACTCTGTTTTGCTGAGTAAGTTATTCTTGGCTGTAAGCCCATATCCTTTTCCTTCTGGAATATTTTATTCCAAGCTCTCAACTTCTTTATAGTGGCAACTGCTAAATGATGTGTGATCCTGATTGTGGTTCTTTGGAACTTGAATTCTTTCTTTCTGGCTGGTTGCAGGATTTTTCCTTTGATCTGGAAGCTCTGGATTCTGGCAGTATTGTTCCTGGAAGTTTTCATTGTGGGATTTCTTTCAGGAGGTGACTGGTGGATTCTTTCAATTTCTACTTGCCTTTTGGTTCTAAGAGATCTGGGCAGTTTTCTTAGGATTAAATTATTTAGTCTCTTTTTGATTTTTAATCCAGTCTTCAAGAACCTTTTATTGAATGTAACTTTATTGTGTTGTGTTCAGTAAATAATTTAATATTTCTGTTTTCCTGCATTTGTAAGGTCTTTATACTTAGTATATGGTCAGTTTTTGTAAAAGGCTATGGATAGCTCAGAAATATGTACAATACTTACTGTTCCCCTCAAGTAATCACCAAGATTGATCATATTTATCTTTTCTAAACTACTTTTCTGGTCCTTAACTTGATTTTTACTTATCTTTTTGTTACACTTACATGAGCCTGAAAGGGGCCTTTGAAGCCCTGGACTATTATCATTTTGTCATCTATTTCTCCCTGTAATTTTATGAAATTTTAATTTAAGCATTTAGATACTATGCCATTTGGTGAATATATATTAAATATTAATATTGATTCATTATCTATGATGCCGTTAAGCACAACAGTTTCCCTGTTTATCTTTCTATCTTGTCTATTTTTATTGTTGCTTTATCATTCTAAGAGCATGATTGCTACTCCTGCTTTTTTGAGTTAGCCTAAAGAATAAGAGATTTTTTCCAATTCCCTTATTTTCACTTCTTAACATTTATAATCTCTTCAGTGCTAGAGACGTGAGCTGTTTTATCAGCATCATTATTCCCTGCTCCCTGCCCTTACTGCCATCCTCTGCCTTATACATAGGAGACAGCATAGTGTAATCTAAAGCAGGGGTGGGGAATCTGAGGCCTTGAGGCTATCTGTGGCCTTCTAGGTCTTTGGGTGCAGCCTTTTGACTGAGTCCAAGTTTTACAGAACAGATTCTTTTCTTTTCTTTTTTTTTTTTTTTTTTTGCTTTTTGGTGAGGCAATGGAGGTTAAGTGACTTGCCTAGGGTCACACAGCTAGTAAATGTCAAGTGTCTAAGGCTGGATTTAAGCTCAGGTCCTCCTGACTCCAAGGCAGGTGCTCTATTCACTGCGATACATAGCTGCCCCAACAAATTCTTTTATTAAGGGGATTTGTTCTGTAAAGTTTGGATTCAGTCAGAAGGCTGCACTTGAGAACCTACATGTGGCCTCCAGCTACAGGTTCCCCACCCCCCGAAAAGGGTCAGAGGAAGTAGGCTCAAATCCTGCCTCAAACAATGGCTACCTGTGTGGCCTTGGGCAAATTCCATCCCTTCCTTAAGTCTTAATTTCCTATTCTATAAAGTCCATAAATAGGTTTGGGCCTCCATGATTTCCAAGTTCTTTCCCAGTACAGATATTCTGTATTCTAAGATTTCTGACATTGTGTCCTCAGTTCACAGACATTCTGTGTTCTAAGCATGAATGGCCATAGAATATGGGCCAGGTGTGCATGGGAGTTCGCTATGTACAATATAGTTCTATGGCCCTTTTCAGCTCTGAATTCTGGTTTTTGGTTTGTTTGTTTGTTTTAGTTTTATTATTTTTTTTTTTTTTTTAGGCAATGGGGGTTAAGTGACTTGCCCAGGGTCACACAGCTAGTAAGTGTCAAGTGTTTGGTCTGAAGCCAGATTTGAACTCAGGTCCTCCTGACTTCAGGGCCAGTGCTCTATCCACTGTGCCACCTAGCTGCCCCCTGAATTCTGTTTTCTAAGGTCCCTTTTAGCTCTGATATACTATGTTCTTTTTGTTTTGATTTTAATTTTGTTTTTTATTCCGAACTTTTAAAAAAATCCATACTCAAAACACAATACAAAAAGAGGATTCTATGTGAAGCTCTGCACCTCCATTTCCCACCACTGACTTTTAAAAAAATTTCCACTACTTGCTTTTTAAAAAAGTATATAATAACATTTACACATCATTTTAAAACTGCCCTTCTTATCTATGTTTCCTTCTGTTCTCCTCTGTGCATTAAAAAAATGTCCCAGTAGCCCTGTTTTGGGGGCATCTCTTGCTACATCTCCCTCCTCTGCTAATACACCCTCCTTTGATCAACTGAGAGAAGTAAAGGCAGCCCCCCATTTCAGCCTTGTAGCAAATGTGAATAGCCAAGCGAAACCAAGTTGTAAGGATCCATGCTAGGCCTTTGCTCTTCTCACCTGGGCTCAGACTTAGCCGTGGATACATGGTGCCTCAAGAGAGGCGCTTGTCCTCTTTGTTAATGATCTTTCCTATTCTTAGGTGAGGGAATGGTAGAAAATGGATATGACTTTGTGAGCTTGAAAAGGTCTAGAAAGGTTCCAGGGCTTAAGGAACTAGAATCCATGCCCCAGTTTGCTGACAGTTAGAAGAGGAAAATGTGACCTACATTTTAGAAAGTTTAAAAAAAATACTCCTACCCTTGCTATATCTCCTCAGTTAATTTTTTTTTTGGTGAAGCAATCGGGGTTCAGTGGCTTGCCCAGGGTCACACAGCTGGTAAGAGTTATGTGTCTGAGGTCAAATTTGAATTCAGGTCCTCCTGACTCCAGGGCCGGTGCTGTATCCACTGTGCCACCTAGCTCCCCCAATTAATATGCTTTTGCAAAAGCTAATTGGTGTTAACTGGTTAAATTGATAATTGAGGTGCTAGTGATATAAGAGAGATACTAACTAGCACTGGCAAACATACTAGAAGGAACATACTGAAATTGGGAGTCAAACTAATAGCATTAGAATCATTAAAAAGATACTCTAATAGCCCAGGTGAGCAGGAGGTGGAGCTAGCTGTCCTTAGAGTGCGGGACTTCTTGGGTGAGGAGGAATTTAAGGACCCCTAGAGTATATAAAGGCTACAAACATTTCTTTGAATTCACTCTTTTGACATTTCTTTTTTTTTCTTTTTTTTTAAACAGGTGAAACAGAATATCAACTACATGAAGCTTACATCAAAAAAAGAAGCATGTAACAAATAAAACATGGTTCCTTTCAAAGCTGTATTTGCCTTTTTTTTATCCCATTCACTTAGCACAGTGCTTGGCATGTAGTAAATGCTTAATAAATGCTTATTGACTGACTAGCTGACAGACTTGGTGGGATGGGAGTGATTACTGGAATATTGCTCATCCCCAAGGAACAGAAGGACTTCTGGGTCATGGGGCCAACAAGATGGCAGATTAAATGCCTTCTCCAGACCCCAGGCACTTCAAAAACCTCTAGAAAAGAGGAATTATTCCCTACCTGTAGAACAATCACACCCTAGAGTCAGGGGTGGGGAACCTGTGGCCCTCTAGGCCCTGAAGTTCAGCCCTTTGACTGAATCCAAACTTCACAAAACAAATCCCCTTAATAAAAGGATTTGTTCTATAAAACTTGGACTCAGTCAAAGGGCTACATTTGAGGACCTAGAGGGCCACATGTGGCCTTGAGGCCACAGATTTCCCCACCCCTGCCCTAGACCATAGGACAAAGAAGAGAGAATGTTGACAAGGTAAAATATGGTTGAATTAACACTGGGAGAGAACAGTAATCCTTACAATACTCATTCAGCACCCTTCCCCCCAACCCCCTCTTTGCCACCAGGGACCCACAAACTGACAGATGAACTTCTGTTTGGGTCCCACATGGCTCCAGAGACTTTGCCAGCACACCTCCCCCCAAGACAAGCAGCAGACATTGATTTTACCTAGTGTACTCTGAAGAAATGAGGAGGGGGACTGAAAGCATGCCCCCTTCTGCCCAAGGCTGCGACCACCCTAGGGACCCCTGAGGTTGCAGAGACTGTGCCCCCCTTCTACACTGCAAAAGGGGGAGGTTCTGATTCAACCTGGCAAAGGAGGAAAGGGGAGCCAAGGGAAGAACCGGGGCAGGGGGCCATATGTGCCGACTCCACATCCAAAGCCAGAGGCCTTTCCACTCCATCACAGTGAGTGAGGGGGATTTAGTGGTCAGTGTTAGAGAGATTTGGGGATGGGAGAAGGGGAGGGCACTGTCTGTACCCTGAAATCACACTGCATAGACAGACGCCTATCCTGCCCACCTCAAAGGTCAGCCCTGTGGACAAACTTCGCTGTTTCCTATGTCAGCACCCCTCCAATGCGGGTCCAAAGCATTTGGTTTCTCAAGAAATGAGTAGTTCAGCAGCTCCCTTTGCCCCCAGCCATGCTGCAGAAATGACCACACCAGACCAGGAAGTAGGGGGGAATCTTCCAGGGCAGGAGGAGGCTGTGGGCCCTGCCCTGTGTTTCTTCACCCTGTGGGGATGAGCTGCACTGAGCCATCCCCACTTTCTATCCAAGCCCCTGCTTCATGCCAGTGGCCTGTGTATTTCTGTGATGGCTCATCAGGGCTGGAGATCAGAAAGGATTTATTGGATCTTGTGAGTAAGGGTTGTTTCCTTCATTGCTCCTATCCCCAGAGCCTAGAAGAGTTCCTGGACCATACTAGGTGCTTAATAAATACTTGTGGATTGATTGCCTTGCACTGGATTGGCATGCATGGCTCTGGTTGTTAAGACAGCTTATGGTAAGGAGGAGCAGGCTTCTGACCATTCCTCACCCAACAGAAGGCTGCCCAGGCTCCCAGGTAGAAGCTTGTCTAAACCCACTTCTATCAATGAGCCACTCCCTAGCATCATCATGCCAACATAGAGTCCTAAGGAGAGAAATAAGACTGACAATAGCTCTCACCTCTCCAGGCTTTCAGGTTTGCAAAGGGCTTCTCTCCCTACAGCCCTGTAAAATGGAGAGTGCAAGGATGATTTGGGAGGGGGTGGAGGTGAGTGCCTTCAGTCTAGAGATCTAAGTGCTTGAGAAGGTGGACCCCAGCAGAGGGAGAGGAGTGGATTCTGTGGATCCCAGGGGCTTTCTCCTTGGTGGATGGGAGACCAACTTAAGGATCTCCCTGGGGAGATAGATCAGACCATTACAGAGGGAAGAAGAGTTGTCTTGACTCTGTATGGCCCCCAGCCAATCAAGCAAGCATTAAGTACCTGCTGTGTATGAGCCAGGCACTGTGATCAAGTACAGATCCTTTGTACTTTGCATTTTTCACCAGGTAAAAATAGAGACTGTCATATATTTGCTATGTTATTAGCCTGATTGCTCAATGCAAGTTTAAGGTCCTTTACCCTTTCTTTGTGGAGATTTAAAAGCCAAATTCTGATGTCCCCTGGGGAAACCATGGTTTGGTGGCAAAAACTGCTGTGGGAGGCAGAATTGTATTCTGGAAAGAACTTTGGCTGCTATGGAGTCAAAGGACCTGGGTTCCAATGCTGCTTCTGATGCTTAGTACCTGTGTGACCCTAGGCAACAACTTAACCTTGTTGGGCCTCAATTTCTTCTCACCTGGCTAGGAGGAGATCAGTGAGGTCACCAGAGTGCCTGGGATGATGTTTGTTCCCTTTCCTGATGCATGTTTCGTTGCAACAGCTGCTTGCTTTATGTGCCTTATGGATACTGTTCTGCAGTTAGCATCTATATTTCTCTTTCTCTGGCTCTACCTGTCCCTGTCTCTGCATCTTTATGTCTGTCTTTGTTTTGTTCTCTCTCTCTCAGTGTATACAATATATATATATGCCTGTGGTTACATATGTGTGCATGTGTGGGTATCTGCTGATATCTTGAAGCCCCTGGTGACTTAGCTGTGCTCCCAGCTGGCAGTCCAGGACAAAGCTGGAAAGAAGCCCTCCCCTCCTCCTGGCCTAGGGGTCATAATGGAGACCTGATAAGGAGGTAGCCTGAGTGTCAACAACTCAGGATTCCAGATATCCTTGGCAATGACCAGTCACCATGGTAACCAGTGATTGGAACTAGCTGTTCCTTCCTTGCTGGACACTAAATTTTTACTTTAGTAAATTTACCATCCCCTACCACCTCCTCTGTTCTGCTCAGTGTTGGTTGGACCAGCCAGGGGCAAGCATCCTGGGGTCCAGTGGGTGGGCTTTTTGGCACAGAGGGCTTCATTGCCTGTTTATGTTTTCACATTTACATTGATTAAATGATTCACCTCATCAATAATTTGCAGTGATTGAGTCAAACTAGCCAGCATCACTCACTCATACAATGTCAGGGGGTTGAGCTCTGCTGGGCTTACCTGGGTTCATTTGTGCTACCTGGCAAGGGAGAAAATGCATTTTTACTTTACTTATTACTAAAAAAATCACAGTGAGGGCCTCACTCCAGGATTAAGTGTACTGTATTTGCATCACACATATACCATGTCCTCTCACAGGCCAGATGCTGAGAGCGGGAGATGGGAGAGGAAGAAGAGGGTAGTAGTTTTCTTATAGTTCTGAAGAATCAAAGATTATAGGGAATTATACCAATAGATTTGGTCTGAGTTCCACTCCCAGTGGAGCTGCTCACTCCACCAAGATAAGCTGCTCCCTAATCAGAAAGATCTCTAGGACAACCTCTGTGAGCTTGGATAAATGTCCTTTCAGCAATGGCATTCACAGTGTTCTGAGGACCCTCCAATTTCTGGATCCCACATGACTTTGCAAACTCTGACATACCCTGATCTCAAGCAGGACTGTATTTGAGCCAGTTCTAACCAGCTTGTGAGATCCGATTGTTAAATTTTCAGTATGAGCATTTAAACTTCAGAAACTAGCAATTAAAACAAATCAGGTCTTGATTTAATATTCTATTGATGTCTAGACTTAAGAAAGCATCAATATAAATGGTAAAAGGATATGAACAGGCAATTTTCAGATGAAGAAATTAACACTATCTATAGTCATGAAAAAATGCTCTAAATCACTATTGATTAGAGAAATGCAAATTAAAACAACTCAAAGGTACCACATCACACCTACCAGATTGGCTAACGTGACAAAACAGAACAATGATAAATGTTGGAGAAGGTGTGGGAAAATTGGCACACCAATGCGTTGTTGGTGGAGCTGTGAACTGATCCAACCATTCTAGAGAGTAATTTGGAACTATGTTCAAAGGGCTATAAAACTGTGCATACCCTTTGATCCAGCAATACCACTGCTAGGTCTGTATCCCAAAGAGATCATAAAAAAGGGAAAAGAACCCACATGTATAGAATTATTTATAGCAGTATTTTTTTTGCGGTGGCCAAGAATTTGAAATTGAGGAGATGCCCATCAATTGGGGAATGGCTGAACAAGTTGTGGTATACGAATGTAATGGAAAACTACTGTTCCATAAGAAATGGTGAGCAGGTGGACTTCAGAAAAACCTGTAAAGACTTGCATGAATTGATGCTGAGTGAAGTGAGCAGAACCAGGAGAACGTTGTACACAGTAACAGCAACCTTGTGCAATGACTGACTTTGTTAGACTTAGCTCTTCTGAGCAATGCAATGATCTAAGACAACTCCAAAAGACTCATGATGGAAAATGTTATCCACATCCAGAGAAAGAACTATGGAGTCTGAGTACAGATCGAAGTATACTATTTTCGCTTTCTTTTGTTGTTTTTTGTTTTTTTTTCTTTCTCATGCTTTTCCTCTTTTGTTCTGATTCTTCTTTCACAACTTGACTAATGTGAAAATATGTTTAATATGATCATGATGTATAGCCTATATCAGATTGCATGCCATCTTGGGGAGAGGGAAGTAGAGGGAGGGGGGGAAATTTAGAACTCAAAATCTTATAAAAGTGAAGACTAAAAATAAATAAATAAAAAACTTTTAAAAGAAAAAAGAAAAAGAAAAAAACAAAGCATCAATAACACAGATTAAACATAAAAGTATGTGTGCATACATTTCCCCTCCCAGAGAATCTGATTGTTAAATATTTACGAGTACACCTCTGTAATGCTCTATAAACATTGTTTGAGGTCAATAGGAGTGCAATAGAAAGCTTAGGGAATGAAGTCATCACCAGGCTGGAGGCCTGGTGACTGTAGGTTAATAATAACAACAACAATAATAACAATAATAATAACTGGCATCTATATAGCACTTTAAGGTTTG